TGTATCTTTGTTTATGTGCTGCTGGTTACCAAATAATGTAGAAACGTCAAAGTTTTATTACTTTAAGAAAAATTGTTCTTATTACTTAAATTTAAATGGCTGTCATATGGATCAGGGTCAATATTTATGCTGGCGAGCCATATAGAAGCAACTATGCTCAGGAAACTCAAAGCCAAAAAGAGCTCTAATAAAAAGCCATCACCATCACCCAAGAGCCTCCAGGCTACGCATGAGCACTGCACAGGAGCCAAAGAGGCCACAAAGGTCACTGCCACTCCACCCCAAAAAGGACAGAGTTCTCTTGGCATAAATAAGAAGTGACCAAGTTCTCTATCTTGTCTGATGTCTTAAAACAATCCCCTAAGGGCCCTATAGACAATTAATAGAAATTTTTTGACATTTTTTTTCTTCTACTGAATGTATCTCTAACAAAACATCATGATACTTTTAGGCACACTGCCAAGTCACAACATGGCAGTTATAAATACAAGCAGGATTTCTCAAACCAATAGGGGAATCTCTTGCTCCCTCTCTCCAAGCTGCCAGCCATGGAAAAGAAGACCTGGTCACAGTGTGAGAAGAGTATTCTCAATAATGTGAACCACTCAAAAGCTACAAACTTCTGATACACAGATGATTTGGGAAAGAGCAAAGATATAGCATTACCCCAAAGATATAGGATGGGAAGTGCAGACTGACTAGCCAGCAACACATTCAGTAAGATTGCTTTCAAATACATCTTCTTGCTTCATAAGGAAAATAAAGAATGGTTTCATTTCAATGTTTTCAAGATTGCTATCATAAGATGAGTAACTATGAAATTATAGCTTATCAGTACTGGATAGGCCACTAAATATATTAGCAAAAAGATAGAATTCTGCTAAAACCACAGAACAAAAGAGGCTTGTGGTTATTTATAGAATAGCAAATTGTATATCTTTTAAATATCTATTAAGGTAGGCCTCATGAACATTGATAAACAATGAAGACAGGAGACATACTATCTATCAATAAAATTCATAGAAAATTATAAGGAGGAGCTAAAATCAACTTATAGTCAATTCTTTTACTAATTAGAAAACCCCAAATTAGATCTTGTTCCACCTCACTGTTTAGAAAGCCAAGAGAGGTTACTTACATGTCTAAGGCACACAGTAAAAGAATTAATACAACAGACTTGAGCTAGGAGGGTCTCTTTAGCCTTCAACTCGTCAGATTCCACAGTCAATCAAACAGTATGATATTGAAATGATCAACAGAAAATACTAATTTCAATAGTCAAACAGACTAAAAGGTAATAAATGCACATATCCTCATTACTCAGATGTGTATCTTGCCTGAAACCTCAGTGCAGAGTTTACACCCAATTTGGGCTCTAAGAAAAGGCAGTCCACTCTAGCTGGCTGAAACCTATGATAAGCTCACTTCTTCCAACACTTCACTTTGACATTTCAGAATGCCGGTTCAAAAAGGATAACCCATTAGTAAAGAATAAAAGACTGCTAAAATTACTAAATAAAACAATAATAAAAGTATTTAATGGCGATAAACTAGAATGCCTAGAGATTTTTAAAAGGCAACAAGCAAACCCTATATTTCACAAAAATTGGTCTTTTTTTTTTTTTGTGGCAGTGAACCAAACTGAAGTCAGTCTTTTCCTATAAGAAAATAAATTCAGATTTTTAAGATATCCTTGTCATATTTTAGCTAAAACTTGAGATCTCCTGTGGGTAAAATAATCTCAAAGACATACAGCTTACAATATTTACCATTAATTTAAAAGTCTGGGCTTTTAATACCAGGCTTCTCAGCAACCGATTTTGCTTTCCTTGTAGGCATTATAACTCAGGTAGCTGTGATTAAACGGAGGAATGCCTGCCACCAGGCCAACTAGGTAAGCCGTCTTCAGTTTCAAATTTATACAGAATAGTTATGTGGACTTTTTCCCAACACTACACCTTTTAGATTAATATGTCTCCATTAACCAATGGCTATCCATGTGACTCACAATTAAGAGAAAGATTATTTTAATACAAACATCATGCAGTGTCCCACAGAAACTACAACTGATTATCACAGCTGAATGTTTAAAGGATAGATACTAAACAGATTGATTAGACTTATATGGGAAAGCGCCATGCCTCAAATTGGTGTTATTTCAATGAGGAAACAATCTAAGAATGAGCCTTTGGAAGTTGTAAATAAAAGTGATGTGTTTTCCATTTTTATTTAATTTATCGGGGCAGTATTGGTTAACAAAATTGTTCAGTTTACAGGTGCATAATTCCACAACACATCATCTGTATTCTGTATTGTGTGTTCACCACCCCAAATCACGTCTTCTTCCATCACCATTTATCGCCCCTAAAACCTCCTCCATCTTTTCCCACTCACCCTCCCCCAGCAATCACCACACTGTTGTCTGTGTCTATGAGTTTTTGCTCTTTTTTTTCTTTTTTGCTCATTCCCTCCACCACAAACAGCCCTCCAAACACCCTCACCCTCAGCTGTCAGCCTGCTCTCTCTGAATCTGTCTCTGTGTTGCTTGTTAGTTCATTTTGTTCCTTAGATTTTACATGTGAGTGAAATCGTATGGTACTTGTCTTTCTCTAACTGGCTTATTATGTAACTTAATTCTCTCCAGGATAAAAGCTATTATATCTCTCAACATTCAACAGAATGTTTGCTGTGATCATTAAGGTAGAACTTACATATTTATTCTAAAAGTATTGCTTGTGGTCAAAATAGTTTCTCAGCAACCCTGCATATTCTCACTAGCAATAGTTTGGATACAGTTTTCAGAAATCACCTCAAGTCACTCAGACCCCAGGCTGGTACATAAACTGCATTTTAAATAAAATTTAAAAAAAAAAAAAAGCATCACTATCAAGTATATTTAATGACCTAGTTACGGAAGCAATGCCCCCAATGGGAGGAATTCTCTAAAAAAAAATATTTTGAATAATAGTTCAGCACTGGAAGTATATAACCACAGAGTGACTTCTTTGAAAACCTCACCTATTTGTACTATATGCTGTCATATGTGTGAAAACAATTCTATAACTCATAAGCACACTTCCTACATGAACCTGCCTAACGCCTATCCTATCTTGTGGGGCTTACAATTGACATCAAAGTTATTTGGCTGTGAACCACTAAATAGTGTATACCAGTGATTTTCAACTTCAGTGTGCCACAATACTTTTAAAACATACAATACCTTGACTTTTTAGTCAGGAACACTGACCTCTTTTCCCTTATATTGTCTAATAAAAAAAATGACAAAAGCCAACACAACAATAGCCATACGGTGTGAATGAATCGAAATTATACTTATTTTTTGGTCAGGAGAGCAATAAAATGTTTGCGTTGTGCTGCAGAATTTTAGTAATTAGTTTATGTGTACCATGAAATGAAAAAAAGGTTGAAAATCACTAATCTATACTCATAGCAAAGAACTTTTCAGATCACAAGCGTCTTTCGAACAATCATTTTTGTTCTTTCATGCTCTGAACACAATAGAACACATTTAAATCATATAGTCTTCAAATCCAAATAAAGTAATTCCCTATCTGTGACCAATTGGGCTGACCACTTCATAGTATTAAAAATTAGTTTAACACTATTTGGCAACAATAATTCAGAATGTGGCATCAGAAGAGGCTGAGATGCATCCCTGAAACCTTCCTGTGGCCCTTCTTTATATGCCTGTCCTACAACATATTAGCTGGAATCGCATGAAATTGACATTCCTGTAGGTCACAGATGGTTGAATAGCAAAAACTGGGTATGGCTCAACTTAATAATATTGCTCTAAAGAAGTGTAAACACCCATTAACAGAGCTGGTAAAATGAGATTATTATCTACATGTCCACCAACCTATGTTTTTCTACACAGTTTGGTAGTTTACAAAAACCTATTAAGTTCCATATATGTTATGGAACTTTGCAACCCTGTAAAGTAGGCAGATTATATATCCTGATCTCCACTTTACAGGTGAGAAAATAAGGCTCGGATGTTAAGTTACTTGCTCAAATGTCCAAAAGTAATAGAGCAAGGAATCAAACTGATACCCTTTGACTCCTTCTGCTTGCTGCAAACAACCTTCCTTTAGAAGAAGAATCAAAATCATCTAAGTGAAAACATATATACTCCTAATGCTTATTGGTGGACAGATTCCATCAATACCTATGCAATAAATGTCTAGATTGGAATACATAAGTGCTTTCAAAAATGCGAGTACATATTCAAGTACATTCTTATCATTTATTGGCTCAATTCTGCAACCTGTACTCTTATGCATTCATCCTTATACCCCATGGGCCTGCCTGCCCCTAACCCCCAAAGGTCACATACCCAGCTAACTATATTATGCACCCATTGAGGAACAAAACATTACACTAAACATACAATGTAGGCCTCATACCCTCAATCTTTATTTTACTTAAAGATAACTAAAGCGTGGGATGTGATTCTCAATATTTGTTAATTAAATGAGTGGTCCATGACTCAAGTTGGATTGTGGTAATGTTACGACTCCACTTACAGTTTAGAAGAAACATTTGCTACTGCTTAAATTTGTTCTACAATCATCACTATTTATTGATAAAAGAAATAAGTTTTACACAAACTTCTAATACAGGCAATTCCATACATTAAAATAATCTGAGTAAGTGACAGTTGGTACAATGTAATAAGGCTTTCTCCTCAATCACTCACCCCTACTGGCTCATCAAGCAATAATAGAACCATTCTTGTTTACTAATTTAAAATAATATATATTTCACCAATGCTATCTTTAGATACAGAAGCTGATAGCCCCTTATTACTGTCTGGAACTATGAGGTGTCCATTTGCAGGGATCAAATCTCACTTCTTACCAGGTAAACATATCTGTGACTATTGTAGCCATAGAGAGTGGGAGTGAAAGTGGACATACTTCATAACATGCACACACACCTTTGCTTTTAAATTGTTTGTAAATGCTTTAAATACTTACTCACACAACAGAACACCATTCTCTAGAGAGGCTCGAAAATCCTGTGTTTCAAAGTTCTTCTCTGTCACTGCCTGAAAGACAGATTTCAGTATTAATTTTCTTTTAACTGGGAATAAGACACAAGTCAAATTCAGATGAATTGATATGCATCTGATATTATCACTGAAGGATATGCATATTATTAAAAGCTTTTCCACAAAAGAAATTATATGAGGTTCTGTGTTACAAAGAGTGAGGTTATCCATTTTAGTATGAAAATATAAGCAGAAAAAAACACAATGAGCATTTTCTGTAATGTAACCATTTTATGGATAATAAAAATTGGTAACTACAGTTTGAACATATTTTGTATTTAAAAATCTGTGGGTGGTTCTATTTTACTAAAAGTAAATAAAAACAGTAAATAAATTTGAAATACCAACTATATATGCACATGATTAATTTCAATTCCATCTTTAAATTCCTCACATTTCATTACAAAGATAAATAGCAGAGGACCTGACTCTCCTTAAATGTATTCATGAAACGGTCTGTGTAAAGAGCTATTTACTGAAACATCCAAGAGAGAAGAATGTTAAATCCTAACACAGAGAAACAAAAAAGATAGAGAAATGGTAGACAGTAAGAATTTCAAGCAAATAATTCCTCACTTAAGACTCCTATATATGAGCAGGCCACCTAAGGTTTCCACCATAAATGTTCTTAGTGAAACTGCTGGGAAAATCTCTACAGATTCTGTCTCTTAGGGATAGGGGAAATGGGAAGGAAGGGAGTTCCATAGGGAAAACAATAGCAGAGAAAACAGTGGAAGGGAAATTGCTCCAAAAACAACTCTTGGGACTGGATCCCCAGCTAAGGGTGTGGGCAAGAGAACCACCATCTGCTAGCAGGAGTCCTTGTTCCATCTGCCACTTCAGGAAGAAATACAATCTTGGAAACCTGATTTGGGAAGTAATCCATCTTAACTCCCAGATGAGCCAAAGTGCCCCCCTATCCTTATTCGCCACTGCTAGCTTTACTGTCCACCTGGAATCCCTATATGTCTTCTGCATCTTTCCCACAATGCCCGACATAGCTCTAGCTAGACACACTACCTGTTAACTGACACAACAATGGATAATTTTAGAATTAAGGTTAGTTTCTCACAACATGGTTCTACAATATGGACAGGAGGAAGGCTAGAATGACACACAAAAAGGCAGGAGCATCCTGTACATGGCATTCATCTACAGCAGTTTCCCAAACTTCTCTCATGAAGAGAATCACCTGGTGGAGTTGTTAAAATACAGATTCCTGAATCCCAACTAAGAACTTAAGTATACAATTTTACCTATATGTTCCCAAAAATTCTAGTTTAGCTCTTCTTAGTTGGGATTCAGGAATCTGTATTTTAACAACTCCACCAGGTGATTCTCATCATGAGAGAAGTTTGGAAAAACACTGATCTACAGGACAGCTACACTGCTGTGGAAATCAAACACCTGCTGAGTATCTCTGGTGCAGATACTTAACCTGGATACTGGGTGGAGATCTTAAAAAAAAAAAAAAAAAAAAAAAAAAAAAAAAAAAAAAAAAAAAAAAAGCAGGAGGGGTGATTATTCCCTCAAGAACTTCACAGCCGCTTAAGTAAAAGACAAAATTTAAAAGCACAGTAAATGCAAACAGAATGGCACATTTGGGGGGAGATAACCTTGAGTGGACCATGGATGATCTTGGGTAATCTGTGTAGCACAAATTCCTATTTCCCCAAGTAGATCCAATACAAACTTAAGATGAGCACTGATCCCAATGAGTGAAAACATAGTGATATGTAATTTTTCTGGGAACTCCTACCCAAAGCCAAAAAGCACAAAAGGGCCCAGGAGGATCAAAGCACATATCAAAGTCCATTTTCTCTAGTCATGGGAAAGCACTCGGAGCCACCAAGACTTAGTTGTCCTGCTGTGAAAAGATCTAGCAATTATTTTTCCAAATCAATGTAGATTGGAAGCAGTGGTTTAGGAGATAAAAAGAGCTATGCCCTCCAAACACATGGAGAGCAGTAAAGAGTAACAGTCAACAACAATGGGTGGTCCAATCAAGAGGGCAGAGCAGTGATGAAATGGAAAAAGAAAAAGCTCAACTCGGGCAAAAGTATATTTAAATCCCACTTTCATCACCTAATAACTGTGTGATCTTAAGCAAGTTATGTAACCTCTCTGAACTCCAGTCTCCTGATCTGAAACAAGGAAAATATTACCTACTTATTAGCTTGTAAAGATCAAGATACTGTGCAAATAGCTGAGGGTAGTTAACTGCAGTATATGTTTAACCTCATTTTATGTATTGACCTTCAAGGTAACACTCTGACAACACACTGCAATAATTAACCCTCAAAGGAATACCTCTGTACCATATAATAAATATTAATTAATAAAATAGAAATAATGAAATTTATAGAGCTATTCAGAAAACTCAATTATCTAGAAAGTTTCATTTCTCCCCAAAAAAAAACTGTAGAAAGTCAAAGCCATAGATTTAGATCACCCTCCTCCAGATATCACAATATTAATGAACTCTTATACATATATACTTACTGAAATCTAAATAATTGTGATGTAATACCAGACCAATTTATACTGTTTATAAAGACTATAAAAAGTAAACAAAAAATTTTAAATAACAGGCTATACTGTAAGGTCATGGGAATCTGGCATGTTCTGTATAATACCAAAGATTATATAAAATGACACAATTCTAGAAGGCAATTTGTTGTTGTTGGTTTATAATATAATGTTTCTCTTTTTTAAATATTTTATTGATTTTGTACAGAGAAGGGAGAGAGATAGTTAGAAACATCGATGAGAGACAGTCATTGATCAGCTGCCTCTTGCACACCCCCTACTGGGGATATGCCTGCAACCAAGGTACATGCCCTTGACAGGAATCGAACCCGGGACCCTTCAGTCCCCAAGCCAACACTCTATCCATTGAGCCAAACCGGTTATGGCTATAAGGCAATTTGTGATGTATATTTGAAGTATTAAATATGCTCCTTTCAGACATACAAATCTAGGAATGTACACTATGACAACAAGAGAACAAGACATAAGAAGGACTGCCTCACAGCACTGTGTATAAGAGCAATAATTACACACAGCCTGAATGCCCAACAAAAAGAGACTGATTACATTATGATATAACTGTAAAACAGAAAATTACATGAAATTTAAGCTCATGTCATGAAAGTAGATTTACTTGTAAAGAATCTTTATATATTAATTATAAAGCCATTCATTAAATAATACATGAGTAGAATCACAATTACTATAACTCTATAAGTATGCATTATATAAATAAATATTAAATAATTATTTCTAAGTGGTAGAATTATAGCTAACATCAATATTTATATTATTAACAGTCTGTAACAACCAGAGGTGTTTCCTGTGTCATTGATATACAAATTAATATATTTTTTAAAACTCCATGCAAGAGAGGTCAGAATCAATCAGATTTAGGTCAATTTTATGTGCCTCTTATACATAAAGGATAAAAATCCATTAGACTACCTCCTGTATCCTGGAAACTGTAAAAATTATAGAGATCTATAAAGGACCTCAAAATATAATAAAGACAGTTTGTTTCAAAAAAGTTAAATCATGCTTTAAAATATGAATCCATTTTATTTTAAGGAGAATTCAATGTACTGAACGAAATTTAAGAAATTTAAGAAAGTGTTTGTCTAGGGCAATGGTCAGCAAACTCATTAGTCAACACAGCCAAATATCAACAGTACAACAATTGAAATTTCTTTTTGAGAACCAAATTTTTTAAACTTAAACTTCTTCTAACACCACTTCTTCAAAATAGACTCGCCCAGGCCGTGGTATTTTGTGGAAGAGCCACACTCAAGGGGCCAAAGAGCCGCATGTGGCTTGCGAGCCGAAGTTTGCCGACCTCTGGTCTAGAGCGTTCTAACCTAACAACTGTTCATGGCACTTTCAATAATTCTGGGCCTTACTCATTAGAATGTTATTTGAGGTGTGACTCATTTTATGTAATGAGGTGATTCACAGGAACTCAAGACCACGTATTTCCCACTTGTGTTATCAAAAGTCAACACAAACGGGAGTAATCACTATGTAGTCAAGAGCCACACCTTGCCTTCTCTAAAAACTTGGCTGTTTTCCTCTTCCTGGTCCCTTCCCATAGTTTTTAATACAATTAAGTAAAATCATTACCATCTGAGACGTACATCAGACGAGACCTGCGATTCAATTTCTGGACCCATCTTACACCACAGGCTTATTTTTTCCCCCAGACAGGAAGGGAGAGGGAGAGAGACAGAAACATCAATGATGAGAGAGAATCACTGATCGGCTGCCTCCTGCACTCCCCACATTGGATATGAAGCCTACAACCGAGCATGGTGGATGCTCAACCACTGAGCCATGCCAGTTGGGCTAGGAACTTCTGATAAGTCATTGCTCCATCCCCTATTTTTAAAAGAAAAGAAATATTTGCCCAACCTACTTCACAGTACACAATGACACATGAAAATATTTGACCCTTTCAAAAACAGAAGATGAAGAAGACTACACACTATATATAGCCAGGGCTCCTGCTTCCTCCAGCCCTGTGGCCCTGGGTGCTGACGAGTGGTCCCGCTGGAAAAAAAGCTAAGATACTCACAGGGCCAAGGACTCTCCCTGGGAAGCTGTAATTACTCTCCCAGGCATATTAAGGGCGGAGCAGCCTGCAGAAACACCTCACACAAACAGGCTGCCAAACCTGTCCGACCGCCCGTAGCCTCTGGAGAAGCCCTTGATCAGAAGCTTTTAATGGGCATATTTTGTGAAAGAAAATATCTATCAACTAAATATATAGGCAATATGTGCCAAGACCACAAATTTCAAAATAGCCATTTCTCCTCCTATGAGCATATTAATTTAGTAAACAAATGGGAATTATCATCACACCCTTTTTTTGTTTATGGTTTCGTTTTAATCCTCTTGCTGGAGGAGATTTCCCACCAACAGAAGCAGCAAGTTTCTCTAAGGCTGCATCTCTCAGTTCCAATTCTGACCAC